AAGAGACAGACTTGGGCTCAGTGGCTGCAGCCGTGGGTCAGGGAGCAGGCGAGGCGGACAGACTGACGGACGTGGGCTCAGGATCCCGCAGGCAGTGTCAGTGGGATGCGCAGCAGAAGAACGGACAGAAGTTGGGAGCGTACACGGCCAGCACAGGCTGCAGGCAGCGGATCCAGCAGGACAGACAGACGGCTGATGGACCAAACATCCAGCCTGACTCGGGCAGGATGGAAAGACAGACGGACAGGGGTTTGGTGGTGGGGAAACAGAGCAGATAGTTCAGATAGGGGGTAGAGCAGACAGCTGGGGACTTGGTCTATTTGAACAGATGGATGAACACAGGCACAGCATCTTGGATGCCCAACACATGGTTCAGGTCGTAGACGGACAGACGGACGTGAGCTCTTGGCTCAGATGCCCAGCACACGTTCAGGTAGGAGACGTGGCAGACAGACAGACGGACGCAAGCTGGGCGGCTCAGACGTCCAGCACGTGGTTCAGGTAGGAGATGTAGCAGATGGCCAGGCGGAGGATCTCAATCTTGGAGAGCTTCTTGTCCGGCGGCAGGGTGGGCAGCAGCTTCCGCAGCTCGGCGAAGGCCATGTTGAAGGCTTCGACGCGGATGCGTTCCCGCGTGGCGTGCGCTGTCCGGTATTTGGCCGTGGCTCGCCGCCGGCGCCGGCGTTCCTCCCGGCTCAGGTGCTGCAGGTCTTTCTTCACGCCGCAGTCGCTGAAGACGGACTCGGACTCGGAGTGCGTCGGGGGCAGGTCGATCTCCGTCTGGTCCGAATTGAGCATCATCTTTGAGGAAGAGGGGTGGACAGAGGGACGGATGCTTCAGAGGTGTGGTACGTCAGGAGGACCGACCGACCCGGGCACGACGTCAAAGCAAAACTGCTCTGCTTTAAAGAAAAGCTCTCCGGCTCACAGCAAGCTCCTGGTTATTCTCCTCTTCCTCCTCCTCATCACACACAGTCTCTGCAAGGGAATTTCAAAATTTTCCGTTTTCCCCGGAGAACTCGTTGGGCGGGCGACAACTTTCACGATAAATAATGTAAGAAAGACGGCAGGATGCATAGAAATTAAATAAATAAATAAATAAATATCCTCTGCGCGCGCGTGTGCGCAGAGACCGCGGGCTCTTCCGTGCAGCCGTGGCAGGACCCAACTTCGGAGACGGCAGGTGTCA